TCGGTGACGTCTCGGTAAAGAACTCTAGTTCCTTGTAGTGCAGCGCCTTTGCATATGCGTGGAACCTCATGGCGTACTCCCCGAGGGTGCGATGCTCAATGGGGAGCGGCTTCTCTTCATGTTCCATGAACTCTGCGAGGCTGAGGAGCCGGTGGATAAGGTCAGAGGGTGCGGTGGGAGACGTAATCGCAGTTTCGATGGAGCGAACAAGCCCTTCCTGTAAAGAGTCGTTATTGTCAACAGCTCTATACAGATGCAACAACACGTACTTGATATTGATCGTACAACTCAGTCCAGCAAGAAATGAATGCGGCATTGAAAAGCTCCTTCGCAAGTGGTGGATGGAATTCGACCAAACTCATGCACGCTCTGAGGGCATGAGAGGGCGACTCTTTCATGAATTCCACGGAGAGGCGGTGCATCCACTCGATCCAATCCTCCCGAGTGGTTACTGAGGAAACATCCCAGGCCTGCTTGAGATGCTGTTGGTTGACGGTTAGCTTCGCCGGTTCAGCAGGTGCCGATATTTCAGCAGTTCTCGAGTTCTCTAGCAGATCATGAATGCCAGATTCTTGGGGTAAGCGCTCGCCGTTCAGGAGCTTGGTGATGAGGTTCTCATATCGCGGGTGGTGGATACGATTGCGGAGCAAGCACTGCAAGGCAAGGGGGAATCAGATCGCTGGGAATAGGAAGTCGACAGAGCATACCTTATTGATCATAGGAACGAAGATGGCGAAGTCCGAACCAAGTTGAACGACAATAGCACAGAGTGTATCCATGACGGCCATCCGAAGTTCGTTGTTTGGTCCGTCAAGAACTCGGACGAGGGGGTGGACAATGCGAGAAGCGTGGTCCGAGAAGTTGACACGCTGGGATAGATGAGCCACAGTCTGTATAGCTCGTTTGCGAAGAATGGTTGTTGCGTCCAGTCTCTCCGCTGCCTTTACAATGATAGGGATGATGAGATGCAGATACTCTTCAATGTTCGAGCCAAAGGTGAGGAACGAGTCAAAGATTTTGATCTGGGTGGCCATTCGTTTCTCCGTCAGTTCCCCTTCAAAGACCTTCAGGAGAAGCGGTAAGATGGTGGGCAAGAAAGGCTTGAATTCGGCATCCAGAGCTTTCCCCAGCGCCTCGATGAGCGAGACAATAGGCAGTTGAAGCGAGACATTCTCCCAAAGGTCAGTCACGAGCTTGAATACTTCAGGCATGTAGTTCCGGACGTGTTGTTTGATGATGCCGACCAAAATCGCGAGTTGCTGCAAGTGGAACTCCTGTAAACGAGCCGTAGAGGTACGTGCAACAACAGCAAATGCTGGAATAATCTGACCAGGTGTCAGCTAAGCATACCGATTACCGTTCAGATATGAATACCTGAGGTAGGAAAGTGACACATTTCAGCCCTTGAGTCTTGAAGATGTTCATGATAGCTTCGATGACGGTGTGATGATGGTTGCTCATAGACTGGTCCCTCAAGACAGCCAACAGGGACGTGATCACGACCGTTTGGTAGTAGTCGTCGGAACCTGTCATAGAGGTAGTGGTAATGATTGCTGCTGTAGTGACGGCTGGGAGCGTCCCTTCCGCTGCTCCCTCTTCATCTGGCTTCGTCTGCAACAGTGTTCAAGTCCGGTCGCAAGTGCGGCATAAGGGTGACATACCTTCCGTCTGTACGGGTCGAGAGCACCTAGAATACCTAAGACCTTGACAACCTCCCTCACTACCTCACGTCGGGATGCGCCAGACTCGGTTCTCAAAATTCTTCCCAAAATGGGAAGAAGTTGGGGGCAGTCAATTAGTGGAGAGATAACATATCCGGTGCTGGAGCACAGTTGTCCGAGTGTACGCAAAGCTGCATCTCGTTTGACGTGCGCAGGATCTTGGAGTCTGGAAATAATGACCTGCATCAATTCTGGAATATGCGGCGTCACATCTTCCCCTCCGACGGCAGCGAGTTCTCCGAGACACATTAGTACATTCGCTGCGACTGCTGGGTTACTATCGTTGGCCTTTGGGATCAAAACCCGCAAGATTGGAAGCGCGTATGGCTTGATGAGCCTCTGCGTGGCGCTTACAAGCAACGTAAGGAGACGGGTACAATCTTCCCGGTTTCGCCTGTTGGGAGGATTTAGAGACACTGTAAGAGATGACAGCCAAGCCACATACGTCACCGTTGAGTACTCCAACTCAGTCAGAAGCTGTATCAACGCCTTGCGTAGCGACGGCATGACATATGCTGGGTTGTGCTTCGCTAGACGCCCGATCAAACTGACTGCAATCACCCGGTTTTCGAAAACTTCATCATTGAGTGCGATGAAGATGGAGCGAACATTCTCCGCTTGTGCCAAGTGTTTATCGAACCGTTCGTGCAAAGAGGAAAGGACAGTCTGGCGGATAGTAGGGTCTGAAACCGCGTCAGGGCCTCAGGAGAAACATGATACCATTTGGAACCTACCGGGATCTGCAATTCCAACTGTGAGCAATTTATCGAGGACGTCGCTGATAATCTCAATCGCATGACTGCTTGCTTGATAACAGATCGGATCTCTGACAAAAAGCCTGCAGCACGTCAATGCCCCTGCGCGCCGCACTTCTGCGTTGTCGTCCTCAAGATAGGGCAATGCGGCAGTCCGAACAAACTCGTTTAAGACGTGACCTGGTTTGGTTTCAGAATGACCCAGACATATTGGCTGATCCACCCTTACCGCTGAAATCAAAAGAACCAAGGGTGGAAAGGGCTAGTGTGATGAGCTCTGGATTCTTTCCGACCTTTGTGGCGCCGAAGTCACGAGTGTAGGCTGCGACATCGCCCCGAACTAGGGTTGGGGGGGCTCCTATAACTTTGTACGGTTGTCCAGTGAGTATCATCGACAGAAGGTCTAACAAGCGATCCTGGATAGTCTTCAGCAACGGAGGGATATTCCTCGCGATCGCCACGAGGGCTTGCCGCAGTGGTTCACTGAGCCCACATGCAAAGAAGAGATCCAGCTGGTCATGGAGAAGCTTGGTAAGGTTAGGCCCAACAGCCGATGCCAGCATCCCAACGCATTGGAAAATCGGCTCTTCTGATGGTGCATTCTTCTTCCTGCACCAGAGTTGAGCAGCGTTGATCCATTCAATGAAGAGCACTCACCCCCTTTGCTGCAGTCCTAGTTTAATCTGAAGCATAATAGAGTCCAGGAAAGGTTTCATATCGCTTCCCACTGCAGTCGCAGTGTGGCCAATAGCGATGAAAGCTGTGGTTTTTGTTGAGTATACCTGATTACGGTCAAATGCTAGGATAGAGTACCAAAAGATCGCTCGTTGGGTTTCTCAAGTTGTGTAAGAAGATGACCCATCGACTTGTGGAGGTAGTGCTCAGAGAAAGTTTGAGGGTCGTATGCTGCTAGTGTCGGTATGAGTGTAATAACCATCTTGCGCACTAGACCATCCCTGTGCGATTTGAATCGAAGGATCTGTTCTGCTGTGTCTAGGAACGACTCCCGCATAAACTGGATAGGGAAACAGATGAAGTGAAGCGCTCAAGTCAAAGAAGTAACCCTCACGTACCAGGTCCCCATGAAGTAGCAGTTCGCGATACATGAGCAATGATCCATGGATGACTTCAGGTTGTGGCATCTTCAGTCCAAGTTGTGCATCCTGGAGGATCTTCATGAGGTATGTCGTCCGCGTCTGCCGCTCTCTGTTTGTTACGATATCCAGGCATGCTGCTAAGAGCTCTGCAGCACCCTCTCGAACCATAACACGGGGGTCACGTAGTGGAATGAGAATCTTGTCAAAAACAAGGCTGATGTGAGAGTGAAAGTAAATCGCGCTATTCCGCGCCAGCTCCTTCAAGATGAGAACTCCGGCGTAACGTGGCGATTCCTGGCCCTGTAGGAGCTCTACAGCAGCTGGCACTTCTAGATCCATGAAGCCTTCTCCAAAATCTGCGCCACCAATAGCCGCTATCTGCCCCAGAGTCTTTGAAGCGGCCAACATGATGTTAACATCGTGGTTAGGAAGGAGTTGCTTGACATAATTGTAAAACCTGTAGAGGTAACGCTTTGATCCGACAGTGTCTTCGCCGTCACTCTCCAGCAAGTGATCTGTGCAGAGTTTGTTCCGATTCGTGGTGCAAGAACAAGATGCAGAGACGCACCGATCGCTAAGAGTCCTCCTAGTCTTTCGGCATTGTTCTGGCTATGCATGAGGTCAAATATTCGTTTGTTGATGTCGTCGTCCCATAGCTTGACTGCAGCGTCATTTGGCATTTCTACTACAGTCGTAGCTACCTACAAGAGGGTCAACGTAGGCACACACCCCGAAGTCACAGACGCACATAACGACGCAAGTCAATCGCTGCTTGGAGCCGAGCCTCATGACTGGGATTGCGGAGACCTTGGAATATCTGACCAAGGTTATCCGTATGGATGGAGGTGATAGCCGACGCCATGCTTGTCGCCGACTTCGAGAACGATTAGCAGCACAGACACGGCGCTGTGTCCTTCGTTCTGCTGAGATGTTACCGTTACGCAGTGAAATTGATGCCGATTATTTGGTCTTGTTGAGTACCAAAGCTCAGCAAGGCACACCAATCGGCCGAACCATTACCACTCACTAATAGTATAAACTATTAGTGTTGGTCGTTGCTACATACTATCCTGAACGTCTGACTTATTCCCCGTGATAAGGCTTCACAAACGTTCATGGAATCGTACCCTGAACTGACCGCACCGTGCAACAACAAATGCGTTTTTCTCCACCCTGACGAGGACCGCATCTGTTCCCTATTTATGGTACGCCGTTTCAAGTTGGCTTATCGTCTTTTCCGTTGGTCAGTCTTTCACTCTGACGCTGTCCATCCGGATTCCCTGGAAGGACGTCTATACTCGGATGTCCGAGCAGAAAGTTTACACCCAAGTTGCTCCTTGCGTGCTTCCGTCTCATCGCATCTGTTCTCCCTTGGCACAGATTTTACCCTGTGGATTAATTTAACACAAGGCAGACGAGATGTCATCGGCCTGGTGGTCTAGTAGTATGATTCCTTGTTAGGGTTGCCGAATTAGTTGATTTGGTGATATTCGAGGAGGTCCCGGGTTCAATTCCCGGCCAGGCCCAGTTGTTTTGCGTTTTTTTTTGGGGGACGCTGCTTTGCCAGGCAAGGTGTACATGTCGGCTCCACCTTCCATTCCACCAATGCTGTGGCTCCCCACAATGTTTTAGGTTTCAAAGGTAATCAGGACAGCCCTTCACCTGAAACACCCCCAACCAGTAATCAGGCAACGCCGCCCCTTCTGGCGCAGGACGCCTCAACTTAAAATCAGCCGACGATGGGTTGCTGCATTTGATTTATGACTGACATGATTTTGCCGAAGCTAACGCAGGAGAGGTTGCCACATCCCAATTGCCAGTGTGGTTGTTGAGGACGACTCAGAACTCAGTCGTGCTCCCATAATAAAAACCATCAGTGGAAAAGCACCCCGACAAGATAGTAGGTGGGTCCCGTGCAAAAATAACTCGCTACTGAGGCTCACTGGGTCCTTTTCAGAGTCTTACCGCATCGATTCCGGCCCCGCGGGAGATGATGCAGGGGTGGTTGCATTCGAAGTCGCTGTCATCGCTGGAGAAAGCCATGACTCGGTTCCCTCCTCAGTCACCAGACGTATCCTTTCACACATCCGCCGCGGTGATGTATTCCGAAGGCTAGCGATGGTCGGGTCCTCCGAGCGCTACAGTCGTACCAAGGCAGGCGTCGCGAGTCGCCATGGCGACATCGCCATTGACTTCGTGAGCTGATACAAGTTCCATTTGGAGTGCGTGTTCCTCAATGCCCCCGATCTGCAGACTTCCCTCTGTTCCAGAAACCATCTCAATATGAAGGTATATTCGCACAAAGGTACGTCACTCTAGACGTGCAATTTCTTTTGCACCCTCTGGTCGCAGCCTGTTCCAAATGGAAAGGGTTAATCCGAAGGCCTGGTGACCGGAGATGATTGATTATTCTTCCTATCGCTATTTCTGACCATCACTTGTGGCTCACAGATTACCCTGTGCAGGTACAATAGTAGTTTTACTTCCCAGGACTTTTGTGGCAACTTGCAAGTTAGAAACCGCAAGAGGGGGGGGGGGTTACGACGTGCTTCCAGCGTTAGCCAGTAGTCTGCGGAGCATGAAGGAGAAGAGCGGGAAAACAACACTACAGATTGGCGACAGTGTGCGGGCCCGAGTCCCTGAACCCTGTGCCTCAGAGGTGGATCACTGCCAGTTGTCTACGCGTTCTGGGAAGGTCATCTTGGGCTTCAGTGGAGAAGACTCGATGCCGGAACTAGTGAAGGAAAGAGACATGTGGCAGAAGCTGGGTGCAGTTTTGCGTGGATCGCAACTGAAGACACGGGGATGCATAGGTCCATTGACAGTACGGGAAGTTATCTACGGTTCCCAGTGCGCGTTCACGCATTAACCTTACGGCCAGGTTCTTTACACGTGTATGTACTTGGAAGTTTACACGAAGCATCTAGTGTGAATTTCTGATGTCTGGGTAGTCGCTCATATAAATATTAATGAACGTGAGGTAGACTTACCTAACCCCGATGATCGCGGAGAATTCTGTTCCACACGTCCGGCAAGAAACACCAGATGCGTTATTATCGCAGCCGTCGAAATGCTGATAAACGCGAACATGTTTCCATGGTACAACTCGGATCCTGACCGCCCTTGTTACTTTCCTCACACACCCCATCATCATCATCATGCTCCCTGTGTCGCTGGATGAGCACGGTTACGACGGATGCTTTTCTTTCAAGCGTTTCTTCAGACCAAAGGCTCGTTCATGTGCACACACGAAGGGCCGAGCACGTCCCGCTGACTCTCCAGACGACCGTAAACTAAAGACACTGGTTTCGCTGGCAAGCCTCGCTGAATCTACTGTACGTTTTGTTGATTTGACCGCACTGTTCATTGACACCATTCCTATCATGGGAAACAGACCGACTGTGACGACGTTCCTATATGTTTCGAATCATGTTGCGACTTCTCCTACAGTCCATCTGGGCGGGCGAATGACCCCCCGCCTGCTTACTTTTCTCCCCCGTCTCAGTTCGACGCAAAGACGGATTTCATAACTACCATCGGCACGACTATCGATACCATTGACGCTGCCCTGAGGTCCTTGAGTCTCAATCTCCACGGTAGGTAGACACGGCATGAAAGGGGCTTTCGTTCAATTTTAATCTTAGATCACCCCGAGCTCATGTTCGAAGAAAAGTCCGTATCTTCTGCCTACAATATTGATACTTGATAACAATCCTTCCCCTTAGATATGCTCATGATACCCTAACCGAGTTCATGGAAAGTCACGATTTTCTCGTGACTAGACAATACCTTGGCCTCAAGACTGCGTGGAAGGCAGAGTTCACTCACGGCCAGGGAGGTAGGACCCTTGGTATAAACTCCGAAATGGACGCCTTGCCCCTGCTTGGGCATGCATGTGGTCACAATCTGATCGCTGTGAGTGGTGTGGGAGTGGCTATAGCCGTAAAATCCGCCTTGAAAGCCCACAATATCCCCGGAAAGGTTGTTCTCCTTGGAACACCTGGTAAGTCCTGATTGCGGTCGGAGCCGAAGTTCCCGACCATGACTCTTGCTGAACGATCTAATCAGCGGAAGAGGGGGGAGGTGGGAAGATAATACTTCTTGAGCGTGGGGGGTACGACGGGATGCACGCCTGCCTCATGTCCGTCAACCCGTACATCGGAAAAAAAATAATGCTCACAAGGCTTCGATAGGTGTCATCCCACTGTAGGTGCCGTCCATTCGTCGTCTTTAGGGTCATCCCTGGCGATGCAACCCATAGATGCGGAGTTCTTTGGCCACGCGTGAGTCAAACATGTGGTTTGAATTATATTACTTGACGCGTAGAACCTAGCGCTCACGCCGGAAATGCCCCATGGGAAGGCACAAATGCACTCGATGCTGCATTCGTTGCTTACACAAGTATTTCTGTGTTACGACAGCAAATCAAACCCGACCACAGAGTTCACGGTATTGTTCAGGGCTGTAAAGGTGGTGTCAACGGCGAGTCATCTCAGCTCCAGGAAGTGGAGGTAATTGACGTGTCGCTGGCTTGTCAGTGATACCCGACTATGCCAAGATGCGTTGGCTCGTTCGAGCGCCTGACTGGGACCAGTTACAAACATTGAGAGACAGAGTTAAAGCTTGTTTTGAGTGAGTTTTTCGGTTAGTCCCGTGAACTTAATTTCTAACGGAACCTTTCAGGGGGGCCGCGACTGCCACTGGTTGTCGCCTGAAGATTACCATAGGTAAACCCTACTACGACCTGCGACAAAACAGTGTCCTTGGTAGGTCGGGTCACGGTTTATATATATCCCATATATTTGATCTCGCGTTGGAACCCCACAGCGGAATATTTCTCACAGCAGACCAGCCACTGTCTTGGAATGGATATCTACCAAGATCCGTCTGGGGCTTCCACAGACTTTGTGAGTTTTTAACTCCTTTCTGCAAAAATAAAGCATGGTCGATATTTGGGTTGCTGACGAACTGCGCTTTCTCCATAGGGCAATGTTACTTATGGCGAGTGGATCACCTGCAGGCACGCGAGAGATAAGCTTATACTCATGATACTCCAGAGATACCTTCACTGCATCCATGTTTCGGTGAGATATGGCCGTAGCTTTGCTCGCGGATGATCTGATCTTATTGATTTGGTTACTTCGCTTGTAACCCCACAGCGATTCCAACGGAGCCTAATGGGGGGAACCATACGCCAGCGTTCGCGGTTTCTGCGCGAAGCACGGAAGCTCACAAAGCATCTATGTCAGTAACCAAGGGCTTGGCATGGACAGGCTTTCGTGTCATCGCTGACAATCAATTTTATGAACGAGTGAGTGACGAGTTGCTGCGCCGTGTTTACGCGTGGCGCCAATGGTGTTTCTCCTTGGCTAGGTCAGAGATGATTTTCAAAAAACCAGCGGTGTGTTGAGTGCATGAGGACGTGGAAGGATGGCATCTCGTCACTGTTCAAGGACACGATTCTTCGAGTCGGTTTTTGTCAGGGCAAAACTAGATTCCTGTTTCCTATGAGTCCCACCCTGAGCAGTTCCCTACGTGGCTCGATATTCTGCGCCCGTGCGCTGTATCATCATAAAAAGGCATAATTCACCAAGAGGCACCTACTGATTAGGATTGGGAGGTTCGAAACCAATGTAGCGAAACATACTTCTAGACTGAAATGTAAAGAAAATCAACATAGTCGACTGCATTCTCGTATCTCATGAGGGATGGGCTATGGCATAGAAGCTTCAGCAGCGGCTGCCTCCTTCTCGGCCTCCTCCATAGAAAGGGTCTCCTTGGGTGGTGTATGCTTTCCATCTCTTCGTGCCTTTGCAGCGTGGGCACGAAGTTGTTCGTGCTTCGACTTGCCTGTGGCAGCCTCAGCAACCATGCTGATCGGAAGTTAATTGTCATCAAGGCGTATAGGCAACAATTTCACGCACCGCTCGAGTTCTCGACGGACTTCGTCAGATTCGTCAGGAATTGTTGATTTGAAGATGTGGCCTAAGATCATCAAGCCCTGTCAAAGGAATACCCGATCAACACAAACAATCAAGGTAACGCGCTCTCCAAACGGGCGCACCTTCGCTCGATTGAAGAGTACTTTTTCAGATACTTCTCGGTCTTTCAGGACTTGATCCACAACCTAATCCGCAAATGATTGGTTGAATGACCCACTAAACAAGCAAACAACTCACCTCTCGTAACACTTGGACAACTTCGAAGCGGGTTCCCCGCCAAGATGCGAGTAAGATCTGCAGTGCGAGAGTAGACGGACTTAGCAAAAAGGATAACAGGTATCCAAGAAGACACGTGGCAAGCAACACGGACCTTGCCGGTCATGTCTTGCTCCAACGCTCGTAGCTCTTCTTCTGTCACTTCGCCTTTCGCTTGTAGCTTCTCCATGTCTTGCATTAGTGACTGGACGCTGAGTCTGATGAAAGTCAATTCCTTGTAAGTCTGATTTGGTTGTAAGGAGTGATTAGGAAGTCGACTAACGCGCTACCGATCACGCCCCAAGCATCTTTTGCCACTGATCCCTTTT